GTGAAAGGGCGTGACTGTGGCATGTCCAAGTGTGAAAAGGTACTTTATGGTGACACGCAGACATCGGGGTCCCTTGAGGTTTGGATCCTTCCTTGAGCCTAGAACAAACTTGGGAAGGATCTTGGAGGTCGTCTAGTTTGGGGGTGTCAAACCCGATTTCATTGAGGGCCGCATTAGGGTTGTGTTTGACCTGGGAGTGGGGGATGCGCATGGCCAGGGTGGGCGTGGCCAGCTTGATGGTCCCTTGTGTTGGGGGCGCCTGTGGCGGTCCAAGCGCTCTGCCAGCAAAAACAGGCTCCCGAGCTCCATTTTTGGCTGCAGCGGCCTCCTGCAGCCCTTTGGTGGCGAAAACAGCTCCAATTTCACTGGCAGCCGTCCCACGGGCTGGTCCTTCGCTGTATCCAGGGCCGCTCTGCAGGCCAGATCTAAGCACCCCACAGGCCGGATCCATTCCCCGGGCCTTGAATTTGACACACCCCTGGTCTAGTCCAGCCCCTGCTCAGGAAGGAGTCCTTACATCATTTCAGACAAATAAGTCTCCAATCTTTTCTTAAAAACCTCCAGTGATGGAGCACCCGCAACTTTGGGAGGCAAGCCATCCGGCAGTTAATTGTTCTCACGGTTGGGAAATTTCTCCTTCGAGCCATGGTGTTGCAGTGGTTAAAATGCAGCATTACAGGCTGACTCTGCTGACTGCCAGCAGTTCAGTTCTGACCAGCTCACGGTTGACTCTGCCTTCCATCCTTCTGAGGTCGGTAAAATGAGGACCCAGATTGTTGGGCACAAGTGGATGGTTCTGTAAACCACTTGGAGAGGGTTGTAAAGCGCTGTGAAGCGGTATATAAGTCTTTAAGCCCTATTGCTGTTGCTCTTAATTCAAGGTTGCTTCTCTCCTTGATTAGTTTTCATCCATTGCTTCTTGTGCTGCCTTCTGGTGCTTTGGAGAATAGCTTGGCCTCTTATTTGTTTTTCCAAATGTTTTGACACATAAAAGTCACTATGGAAATATGACTTAGCCTCGATCTGAATTTTGCTGACAGGCATCGGCTTTAGGGACGAAAATAATCGACGAAGATGGCTTGTTTGACCTGATACGAAATACTCCAGGCAAGAGGTCCAAGTATGAAATAGCAGCTGAAATGGAGGTTGGTACTCCTGGCTCGACGTTCCTACTTCCTGCCATCCCTACAGTTGTGCTAGGGGAGGAAGATTGACAGCCAGGAAAAGGCCTGTACTGTAGGGAGGTGGGGAAGGATGCTGCCGTTGGCTCAGAGGTTATGCGAAGATGGTCGGGGTTTCCTATTTGCTGGAGAAGATGAGAGGAATCCACATCAGGAAGAAATGGGAAAAGTAAACTTCTCTCTTTCCGTGTGCTCCAGAGGGAATTTGCTTAAATGCAACTGTTGAAAGAAGGGATACGTAGATATTTGGACTGGAAACAGAGAAGGTGCTTGGGTGTGGGTCCACCATGCTGTACCTATTTGTGGTGCTCCAGGATTATTTGACACCCAGGCTGTTGACTTGTAGCTGTTGTGGCCCACTGGCAGCTGACAGAGCTGGCAGCAGAGTCGGACAGTGAGGAGGTTGGGGAGGAACCTGGGCCGGGTCTGGAAGCTGAGGAAGGTTCGGAGGAGGGCTCTGCATCAGAGACGGGGCCGGGGCAGGCTGGCAGTCAACAGCTGCCTTCGGGTTCGGGGGTGCTTCTGGAACCGGTTCCCAGCCTGCGCAGGTGCAAAGCTAGCAGAAGACAAGAACAATTGAGAAAGCAGGGTCGACTCAGGAGTAAGGCCACGCCTCGGACATGATTGGCCCCCTCCCATAGGACATAAAAGAGGAATGAATGGGATGTGAGCTTTTGCAGGAAGCAATTAATTCGCTTGGACGGTTGGATGGAAAAATCCTGTTTGACTCTGTGTCAAGTTTGGCCTTGCCCTGTGCCTGGCAATTGGTTCTCTGGCCCCATTCCAAGTGTGATAAGGTGGGTGTTTATCAACATTCCCCTGAAAGACTCTTTGTGAATCCTGGCCAGCTGTGAATGAACGTAGTTCACAGCTGTGGAAATAAAAAGGGGTTTTGTCGGGATTAAGGTGGTGTTTTATGCTTTCTAAGGAAGCCTAGGTCAGAACAGTAGCATCCCAGAGACTCCATCCTACGTATCCCTTTGTCTTTCAAAGTCTGTATTAAACCAGGGAGTTGAGGCTCTGAAAGTAACACTCAGCTGTATTGCTCGTGACCTTCTAGTTCCATGCAGTTGGTTTCTTGAAGGGCACCCAGGTTTGTTGATGGGTAGAATTAAAAATTACCTGGTGAAATGAATGGAGGGAGCTACTGAAGCTCGCTTTTTAGGTGCTTGTCAGGGGGCTAAAAGCAAATAAAAGGAGGGGAGATGGGACAGTGGCTTAGACTTGCTCCTTTCTTCCTAAATTTGGGTAAGATGTTTTCAGCTGCAGGAGGGGGAACAAAAGGAAGAATGTGCCAATTTAGAACTGAATTGGTGCTGGATAAAATCTGAGAACTTTGGAAACAAAGAACGTATGTGCCAAATCAGTAACCTAAACAAACATTTAAAATATACATTTTTAATTTAAGGGATTTCTACTATAGCAGAGATGCCCAACCTTGGCCACTTCAAGACTTGTGGACTTCAACTCCTAGAATTCCCCATGGCTGGCTGGGGAATTCTGGGACTTGAAATCCACAGGTCTTAAAGTGGCCAAGGTTGGGCACCCCTGTGCTATATAGCCGCTCTGGTGTGTTGAGAACGGATATTAGTCCTCTTACATAAACTAAATCTGGTAGTTGCCGATGGAGATGGGGAGAAGAATTCCCTTGGCTTGGCATGAATAATATAATTGAGTGAATCTCCAGATAAGCTCCCCCCAAATACTTAAGATTTCTAAACGCTTCAGTGATTAGTTTCATGCCAAACACTAAAAATGGGACATTTGGTTTTGGCTTAATCCTATATCTGAGTCTAAATTGTCATGCTCCATGGTTTACAACAGGGGTCTTCAAACTTACGGATTTCAACTCCCAGAATTCCTCCTCCAGTCATGTTAGCTCAAGAATTCTGGGAGTTGAAGTCCACCAGTCTTAACCTTGCCAAGTTTGAAGACCCTTGGTTTACAACATCATGTTTTTTTTGGCCAGTTGCGTTAATTTGCAAAGGTCCACCTTCGTTCTC